TTTAAAATTCGACATGTTAGGACGAGCATAGCGACCCCTTAGGTCCACTCAAACGGTATGGCATGTGTATTTTTGTATGTTTCGTAGTGAAAATAGACAATGTACAAAAAAACAGCCGGTAACAAATCTTTTTTTTTTTCACTAAAAAATTTACAACTTTAGCTTGATTTGACGACCCCTTCGATGCACAAAAACGGTATAGCACCTACCTTCCGATTGGTTTTTTTGACGTAAACTATCACTAGAAACATATGCCAGCCGGTAACATATTAAGAAAAAAGCAACAAATTTTTGACAACTTCTATCACACGCTATCAATTTTAAAACCGCGGGAGGTTTGCCATACTTGCGTTTCCTGCATGTTTACCTAATAAATAACGAATTATGACGATTTCAAGCGGTAACAAATCATGACCATTTTAGTGTCATCCTCGGTGTCATCATCTCCCGGACTATAAGATTGAAAGTCTAGAAAAGAAATATTTCCACCGAATAGAAACACCGAATAGAATACGTGTATACAAGTGCTTTGCGAAGACCGGGACTGTCAACAGAGCCGAAATTCCGTGTAGCAGTAGTTGTGCGGTCTTGCGATAGATGGTACTGGCATTGTTAGATAAGAACAGATGTATGCGTTTGAGTAAGACAGAATGATATATATTATATAATATAATGTAAAAACTAAATCAAAGATGTCACCACTATTATCGAATTTGGAATTTAAAAAGTTTATACTATCGACCTTGATCGAGTTATAGATAATCGGTTTAGCATCTCCTTAAAGATGTTATTTTAATGTCAAAATGACAATAAGCAATGTCAGCTTGTTTGTTATATTAGAAGTACGAGATTTAGGAATCAGGTGGTACAATTTAACGACCCGGTCTCCAAATCTCATATCAAAAGCTACTTTTTTTTTAAATCTAATTTAAACAATAATGTAATGTTTATTTTCGCAAAAGTATCGTTTTGTTTTATTGCCCATTGTTCATTAACCAAAGTTTAATATAAGTACAGAAATATTCTAATATCTTCAGTACTTTTGTTTACAATTTTGTTTAAACGTTAGGGGGTACGATGTAGGCAACTTTCCCCTATTATCGTAGGTATATGACACGTTAATTCAGGTAACAATTTAAGTCCGTTTAATTCGTTCTTTATAAGATCTTACAATACATTTTTTTATTAAATTGTTATTATTGTTAGCATCATGTAAAATTAATTATTGAAATAACATTTATGAATAGGTTTAGAATAGAATTTTAAAACAGAATTTTATCCTATTTTTTTTATAGTGATATAAACGTATAGAGTGAATGAGAAATATCCTTTCTTTTATTTATATGACTTTGTATCGCGGCACGTGATGAAACGTTAACGATACATAGCATTTGATGAAGTAACAGCCGTTTACCAAAGAATTAGAATCTATAAGTTAAAGTCACGTTGCATTTACATGTTATATAAAATGCAACTTCCAGAGTTATAACTTTGTAACAATAATTTTTCTTAGACTTAGATTAAATTTAAATATGAAAATTCAGATACATTTTATATGTATATGTATATGAAAAAATTTTATTTTACGTTTTCAACTTATTTTTTCATATAGAATCCCTCTTTCCATCCACGATTTCCGGAATTCCTGTAATAAGTACCACAATATATAAGCACTATGTATTTATTATATGATAATTGTGTATCATATGTACATATATATGTATGTGTAATATATTAGTGTACATTTTTGTCATCGAAATTTTTTCACTATTCTAGTATTATTAATAGAGTTGATAAATAGTAAGTAAACGTTCTTTATCGCGTTATTGATTCTATTCTATATAAAGGCATTGGCATTGGCAGCAGAAACGGGCTGAAAGTATCAGTTTATAATAGTTTATATATACCGCGCTACACGTTTCTGTCCACGTGAATTAAATTTATTCAATGTCAAAATATCAGCCAGTCGATTAACCCGCAATTTAAATATCGAGCTGATGAGCAGTTATAGCAAATTCGATTGGACGCACTCAGTGCGCACTGATGCGTCTAATCGAATTCGCCATTAGTATATTACATCTTGAATGTTATGACTATGTCTTAGAAATAACGTTAAAGTAAGCCGTTTCTTCCCATTTCTACACGTATAATTATACATTATTATAGTCATTTTTGTAATATAAATAAACCAGAATATTATTAAAATTTTTCTTGTTGATCTATTTAATATATACACATTCCATATATATGATTTTCTCAGTTTCCAAATTCTATATCTAGCATTTCAGATTTTAGATAATAAATTGTCCTAGAAAAAAATGAAATTTAGATAAACATATCTATATGTAGAGTGTAGTCATAGAATGTAAAAATAAATGTGTCACACACGCGTACCTTTTTTGTTGTTATGTGACATCAAAATTAATTTCTTACTCCTTTAACACATATAATGCAGGTGTTTTTGGTTGGGGACCAAATAGTGCTGCCTGGAGCCTGGGCACTGTACATATTGATTTTATTTTCAAAAATACATTTTTTCTCAGGTACATCCACCCCTTGAAATGGATCGGAAAGTTCAGTGACCGAAGTATAATTAGTTTTCAAGATCTGTGTTGTAGAGTGAGAGAGGGGGTGGGAGGGGGGAAAGGGAAAATTGGTCGGAAAGAGAATGAGAGAAAGAGAATGCAGCGTTCCCAGAGTATTAAATTAAATACATATTTTTGAATATTCGGTTACGGGATCATCGTTATCTGACTGCTATAATTATATTCGATATCGGAACCTTGCTATGAAATATTAAAAATTGCACGATCGTATGCAATGTAATTATAGTGAATAATCAATAATACCACCAAAAGAGTGTCAATTGATGACTTGTAAAATACAAGACGAAAAAAAAGAGTTTATATTTAGTAACGAACAATTTTAAATTTAATCGAGAGAGAAAATATTAGATATATTATTATTATACTTCTCTTCTCAGTCCTTTTAATAATATACGAGGGTCGTCTGAAAAGTTTTAAGCCTCATCATGAAGATGGCGTTACTCGTCAAAGCCATTCTGGTATTATAATCGTGATACTTACGAAAGATATCTGTAACAATTGTGGCCATTTTGGACTTTCAGTTCTCGTTTGACAATTATTTGTGTCGTCATTTTGTAAAAATGGAAAAAATAGAATATCGTGCTATAATTAAATTCTTGCATTTGAAAGACAATACGTCTATGCAAATTAAAGCCGAGTTGGACGCTGTTTACGAGGACTCTGCCCCATCATTTGCCACCGTGAAAAGATGGGTAGCTGAATTTAAACGTGGTCGTACCAGCTTAGCTGATGATGAGCGTTCGGGACGGCCAACAACTGCGACCACCACCGATAACATCGAAGAAATTCATCAAATGATAATGGACAACCGTCGAATTAAGGGAGATAGCAGAGGCTGTTGGCATATCAAAAGAACGTGTTTGTCATATATTGACTGAAGAATTAGGCATGCGTAAGTTAACCACGTGTTGGGTGCCGCACTTGCTAACTCTGGATCAAAAACGCATTCGAATGAACATTTCTAAGGCCCTGTTGGAGCGGTTTAAGCGAAACGAGTCGGATTTTTTGCGTCGATTAATAACGGTTGATGAAACTTGGGTCCACCACTTCACTCCTGAAACGAATGAACAATCAAAACAGTGGACTGCGAAGGGTGAACTTGCTCCGAAGAAAGCGAAGACGGTTTTATCAGCGGGAAAGGTGATGGCGATTGTTTTTTGGGACAGTCGTGGAATTGTTTTGATCGACTATCTTGAAAAAAATAAAACAATAACAGGGACGTACGTCTGCTTGACAAGTTGAAGGCAGAAATTGAAAAAAAACGACCGCATTTGAAAAAGAAGAAAGTGCTGTTCCATCAAGATAACGCACCGTTTCACACTTCGCTATGGCAAAAATTCACGAATTGCGGTTCGAATTAATTGACCATCCACCGTATTCA